GAATCCCCTTCTCCCTGGGGAACTGGCCCTGGCCGGGGTGGGGGTGGGGGGACAAGGAGCCAGCCTGCATACCTGGTCCCTGAAGTCCGGGGGGAACTGCATCAGAATGAGAGGATCTGAGGGGAGAGCAGGACTGTAAGTCCAGGGCCCAGGCCCCCCTCCACTCACCCACCCTTGCCTGGTGCCCCCCACTCACCCTCCTGCAGGGAGGCTGGGCAGGCTGCTTCGAAGAACCAGTCAAACATGGCAGGGGGACTCCCTCTGTGGAACAGGAAGGGGCTTAGGGGGTCCAGGGACTTGCTTCTGTGTGTGGGAATGTGTTTGCAACTCTGCATATGTGTGTGGCTGTGCGTGATGATCGTGTGTGCGTGGCTTTGTGAGTGCATGGCTGTGTGTGCATGGCCCCAAGGGTTTGTGATGGTGAGTGTGTGATTGTGTGGGACTGTGTGCATGAGTGTTTGAATGGAAGTGATTGTGTGTGCGTGAGTGTGTGACTGGGTGTGACAGTGTGTATGAATGTGTGACTGGATGTGTATGAGTGTGTGGTGTGACGGGGCATGCATGAGCGTGTGACAGTGTGTGCATAAGTGTGTGACTGGGTGTGCATGACCCCTGGTGTTTGTGATAGTGTGTGGTTGTGTAAGACTGTATATGCAGCAGTGTTGATTGTGTGTGTGTATCTGTGAGCATTGGAGCTGTGAGTACATGGTAAAGTGAGTTACTTGAGAGAGTGTCTCTGTGCGTTGTGTGTGTGTGGTTGTGTGTGTGTGTGACTGAGTTCATGACTTGCGTGAGCATGTGTGTGCATGTATGTATGATGTGAGTTTGTGATTCCATGTGGTGTCTGCCTGAAAGGGTTAGACTGTCCAGTGTGTATGTTGGGTGAGACTGTAAGCGTGTGTGACTGAGCAGGTGTGAGGATGAATAGCATCTATGTCTGTGATGTGGTTTGGATTCTGTCCCCCAAAAAGAAATGCCGAAGTCTTAGCCCCTGGTCCCTATGAATGTGACCTTGTTTGGAAACGGGGTCTTTGAAGATGTTATTAGTTAGGTTAACATGAGGTCATACTGGAGCAGGGTGGCGCAAATCCAATACGAGTGGTGTCCTTACAGAAGAAAGGAGAAACGCAGAAGGAAGACGGTCTCGTGAAGCTTGAGGCAGAGACTGGAGTAATATAGCTACAAGCCAAGCAACGCCAAGGACTGCTGGGAACCACCAGAAGCTGGAAAGAGGCAAGGAAGGATCCCCCCCTGGAGCCTCCAGCTTGATTTCAGACTTCTGGCCTCCAGAGCTGCGAGACAATAAGTCTCTGTTGTTTTAAGCCACAGAGGAAGGACCGTCACGGGAGACAGAGGCAGAAATTGGAGTGATGCAGCTACAAGCCAAGGAATGCTGGGAGCCACCAGAAGGTAGGAGAAGGGCATGGAACAGATTCTTCTGCAGAGCCCCCAGAAGGAACCAACCCTGCCAACACCTTGACTTCAGACTTCTAACCTCCAGCTGGGAGCCAGTAAATCCCTGATGATGTAAGCCACTCAGCTTGTAGGCCCCCTGCTACGGTGGCCCCCAAACACTAATACAGTCTGCTAACATGGCTGTGAGCGTCCCTGGGTAAATGTGTGAGCACCTCTATGGTCTTGAGCACAAGAGACTCTCCCTGTGTGTCTCTGTGTGTGAGGTTGTGGGACCCTGGTGGCTGACGCCAAATTTCTCATCAGCTGCACCCCTGCGGAGGACCCTGTGTGGTGCAAATGCTCCACACTTCGCTGTTAATCCAAAGCTTGGGGGTTTGAACCTGCTCAGTGGTGCTGCAGAAGAAAGGCCTGGTGATCTGCATCCATAAAGAGTGTTGTTGTTAGTTGCCATCCAGTCGACTCTGACTCATGGTGACCCCGTGGGTGTCAGAGTAGAACCGTACTCCATAAGATTTTCAGGGCTGGGACCTTTCAGAAGCAGATCGCCAGGCCTGTCTTCCGAGGTGCCTCTGGATGTGTTGGAGTCACCAGCCTTTTGCCTAGTAGTCCAGCGCTTAACCGTTTGCACCATTACAGCCAAGAAAAGCCTATGGGGCGCAGTTCTACACTGTAACATGTGGGATTGCCATGAGTCGGAATCAACTCAATGGCAGTGGGTTTGGTTTTTGGGTTTGTGATCACAGTAAAGTCCCTGGGTGGTGCAAACAATTTGCACTCAACTACTAATCTAAAGATTGGCAGTTTGAAACCACCCAGCAGTGCCACGGAGGAAAGGCCTGGCAATCTGCTTCCATAAAATCTCAGCCAAGGAAACCCCATAGAGCAGTTCTACTCTGCAACACATGAGCTCGCCATGGTCAGAGTTGACTCAAGAGCAATAGGTTTGTTTGTTTTTTTTTTTTTGGTTGCACCTCCGGGGAGGGAAGAAGGCCCTGGTGTTGTAAGCCCCACAATCTCTGCCTTTCTCCTCTGCCCCACCCCCACACCAATCAGAGGACTCTGGGCTCAGGGAGAGAGGTAGTAAGACCCAGGAAGACAGAGGAGGAGGGCGAGGGTGGAGACTAACTCCAGACCCACCATTCACCCAGGGACACCCACAATCCCTGATACGGGGGGTCCCTGGCGCTTCATTCTGATGCCAGCACAATCATACAGCTAACCATCTGCTCTCGGGAACCTGCTGGCTTTCACATCCGCAGTACCCCAGAACCACCACCCAGGTGCACCAGGAGGTGCCGGCTCATGGTGGGAGCTATGTTCATGGAGTTACACTTAGAGCCAGAGAGAGAGAGAAAGAGGCAGGGCCGAGAGTGGCCAGAGTTTGCTTGAGAGCAGAGTCCACAGTGTGGCACAGCACAGGGTCCTGACCCTGATCTTGCCCACCTGCCCTGTTCCCCTGGAGTCACTGTACCTGCCCCCTCCTCCATCTCCGGGCCTGCACAGCCCAAACCCCCTCTGCCCCAGCCCAGGTCTGGGAATCTTGGTCCAGAGGATGGGAGCGGGGGGCTTACTCAGCTATGGATCCCATGGTCCTGCAGGGCCGCCGGCAGGGCCCTTTCCCCAGGGGTCCTGGGGGCCTGTGCTGGCGCAGGGCTAGGCCCCGGCCAGCTCAGCTTCCTGTGTGGCTGAGAGAGGAAGTTTAATGGGTGACGTCCCCAGAACAGGCCCCTGCCTCCACCCACTGCAAGACACCCAGGCATCCTGCCTCCTCACCTTCCCCTGGGTGAGTGGACAAGAGGTGGCAGCTTGGAGGCCAGAGCCCCGGCCCTGTCCTGCAGGTGGGCCCCGTCTGGCCCCCACCATCACACCCAGCCAAGGTCCCTCCTTGGCCCCTCCACCCCACGCAGCAGCCGAGGATCCATAATTCTCGAAAATGCCTGCCCTTCCCCTTCTCCCACTCTCCTTCTTTCTCGTGGTCCATTCACACGGGTATTCACTGTGGGACCACCAGAGGGAGCTGGCCTGAGGCTGGGCACAGGGGCCAGGGACATAGACAGCAGACGGCCAGGGCACAGCGCAGACAGACAGACACTGGACAAGCATACATAGCCAGGCAGCCACCGGACTCACAGATGCAGCCTGAGCACAGACAGACACACAAGCAGACAACAGACACACACAGCCAGGGCAGCCACCGGGCTTCATAAACACAGTCAGAATACAGCACAGACAGGCAGATAGATAACAGACACACACATACACAACCAGGGTGAGACTCACAGACATTGTCAGAGCATGGACAGACTGACAGACACAGTGCAGCCATCGAGACTCACAGCCATAGCCAGAGCACAGACAGACAATAGACACACACACAGAGCCAGGACAGCTGCCAGGACTCACAGACAGACAGACAGACGGACGCAGCCGGGGTAGTCACTGGAACTCATGAACACAGTCAGAATACAGCACAGACAGACAACAAACACACAACCAGGGTGAGCCTGAGACTCACAGACACAGTCAGAGCACAGACAGACAGACAACAGACATACGCACACATAACCAGGATGAGACAGACACCGTCAGAGCATGGACAGACAGCCAGGACAGCTATCAAGACTTGCAGACACAGCGAGGGCACAGACAGACAGACAGCAAACATACCCACCGCTACCACGAGCCACTACTGCCCCGTCAGTGGCCTAGCCTGGTCTCTCCGACTGCGAGGTCCCGGCCTCGTCCCCTGATCAGCTAGCCCGTCAGCACCCACCCCGTCCTGTAGGGGGAGTCCTCCTTGCTGCCCCTCCAAGGGGAGCTAAAATGCTACCTCCACAGAAACGTGACAGGACAAGAATGACTTTATTTATTGAGGGAGAGGAGGTGGGGAGAGCTGAGGAACAACCTCTCCTCCCCACAGGCTCCAGGCCTGCCTTCCCCCCAGCAACAGCGCCCCCCACCTCGGCTAAGCCAAGGTGGGCAGGAGCTGAGGGGCGTGAGGTCAGGGATCATGATGGAGGCCAGAGCAAGGGCAGGTGGGGTTCACGGGGTCAGAGGTGAGGCCAGGTCAGAGGTGAAGTGAGGCTCACAGGGAGGGGTCAAAAGTAAACCAGGGCTTATACGTCCAGAGGTAAGATGGAACTCGGGGGGGGGTCAAAGGTGAAGGGGAGTCAGAGGTAAAGTGGAGTTAAAGGTAAAGTGGGGTTGACGGGGTCAGAGATGCAGCAGGGCTTCTGTAGGTCAACGCTGGAAGAGCTCATGGGGGTCGGAGATAAAGTGAGGCTCAAAGGTCAAAGGTGGGCAAGGGTCAGAGGTGAAGCGAGGCCCTTGCGGGTCAAAGGTATGTTAGGGTCAGGGTGAGGTGATGGTCATGGGGTCACTGGCTTCATGGAGTCAGAGGTGGGTTGGGGTTGGAGGTGAAGTGGGGTTCGCAGGGGTCAGAGATGAACCTGGGCTCTAGAGGTCAAAGGACATAAGCCTACGGAGGAAGCAGCTCTAGGCCACCTCCTCCTCCGCCTCCTCCTCGAACTCGCCCTCCTCGGCCGTGGCGTCCTGGTACTGCTGGTACTCGGACACCAGGTCGTTCATGTTGCTCTCGGCCTCGGTGAACTCCATCTCGTCCATGCCCTCGCCCGTGTACCAGTGCAGGAAGGCCTTGCGCCGGAACATGGCCGTGAACTGCTCGGAGATGCGCTTGAACAGCTCCTGGATGGCCGTGCTGTTGCCGATGAAGGTGGCCGCCATCTTAAGGCCGCGGGGCGGGATGTCGCACACAGCCGTCTTCACGTTGTTGGGGATCCACTCCACAAAGTAGCTGCTGTTCTTGCTCTGCACACTCAGCATCTGCTCGTCCACCTCCTTCATGGACATGCGGCCTCGGAAGACGGCGGCCACCGTCAGGTAGCGGCCGTGGCGCGGGTCGCAGGCCGCCATCATGTTCTTGGCGTCGAACATCTGCTGGGTGAGCTCGGGCACGGTCAGGGCCCGGTACTGCTGGCTGCCCCGGCTGGTCAGGGGGGCGAAGCCGGGCATGAAGAAGTGGAGACGCGGGAAGGGCACCATGTTGACGGCCAGCTTGCGCAGGTCGGCGTTGAGCTGCCCAGGGAAGCGCAGGCAGGTGGTGACCCCGCTCATGGTGGCCGACACCAGGTGGTTGAGGTCCCCGTAGGTCGGCGTGGTCAGCTTGAGGGTGCGGAAGCAGATGTCGTAGAGGGCCTCGTTGTCGATGCAGTAGGTCTCATCCGTGTTCTCCACCAGCTGGTGCACGGACAGGGTGGCGTTGTAGGGCTCCACCACCGTGTCCGACACCTTGGGCGAGGGGACCACGCTGAAGGTGTTCATGATGCGGTCGGGGAACTCCTCGCGGATCTTGCTAATAAGCAGCGTGCCCATGCCCGAGCCCGTGCCCCCGCCCAGCGAGTGGGTCAGCTGGAAGCCCTGCAGGCAGTCACAGCTCTCGGCTTCCTTCCGGACCACGTCCAGGACCGCATCCACCAGCTCCGCGCCCTCTGTGTAGTGGCCCTTGGCCCAGTTATTGCCGGCCCCAGACTGTCCTGAAGAAGGAAGGGGGCGGGACACATGGGCATTATGGGGAGCACCCACCCTCCACCCCACCCTGGCTACCAACCTGGAGGGGCCCTAAAACAACAACAACAAAAAAAACCAAACCCACTGCTGTCAAGTCCGTTCTGACTCATGGTGACCCCACGTGTTACAGAGCAGAACTGCCCCGTAGGATTTTCTTGGCTGTAATCTTTATGGAAACAGATCACCAGGCTTTTCTTCTGCAGTGCCATTGGGTGGGTTTGAACCGCCAACCTTTAGGGCAGTGTTGGTATTAGTGGCTGTCGAGTTGATTCTGACTCATGGCAACCCATGTGTGCAAAGTAGAACTACTCCATAGAGTTTTCAAGGCTGTGACCTTTTGGAAGCAGATCGCCAGGCCTGTCTGCCAAGGCACCTCTGGGTGGGTTCGAACCGCTAACTTTTTGGTTAGTAGTCAGGTAGCTACCACTCTAGGCTAGCAGTTGAGTGCAAACGTCTTTCGCCACACAGGGACAGAGAGACCCTGTTGTTGTGTGCCGTCGATTCTGACTCACAGTGACCCTATATGACAGAGTAGAACTTCCCCACAGGGTTTCCTAGGCTGTAAATCTTTAGAGGAGCAGATCACTAGGTCTCTCCCCTGTGGAGCAGCTGGCGGGTTTGAGCCACCCACATTTTGATTAGTAGCCGAGCACTTAACTGTTGTATCACCAGGGCTCCTTGGAGGGCCCCTAGTAGTTGTATAATGATAATAACAAAAATAATATAATAATAATAGCAATGTTGTTACTATTATTTACTGTTCTTCTGCTCCATCCTTGCCTCTTTCACTCAGCAGCCAGAGGATCCTTGTAAAACCTAGACCAAATCATCTCTCCTTGGCTCAAAATCATTCCAGGGTTCCCATCTTTGCGTAAAAGCCCAGGCCCTCCCCGTGGTCCACCAGGGCCTGCACCGTCTGCCCCCCGCCCCGTCACCTCCCTAACCCCATTTCCTTTCACTTTCCCTTCGCTCACTCCACCCCACCCGCACAGGTCTCCTTGCTGTTCCTCCAACACACCAGGCACTGTCCTGCCTCAGGGCCTTTGCACGGGCTGTTCCCTCTACGTGGGATGCCCTTTTCCTCATATCCACACGGTTCCTTGTCACCTTCTAAGTGGCTTTCCCTGGTCACCCTCTATAAAACCACAGTCTCTCTCGCTTTGCTATTCCCCTCCTCTGCTTTATTTATTTTCTCCTTTGTACCGGCAAACCTGTGCTTTCTTAGAAATCATTTTTATTGTCTGTAATCTGACAATGGAATGCAAACTCCAGGAGGGCAAGGATGAGTATTAGAATACTGGCTGGTATTACTGTGAACAGGTAACGTTTCTTTGATGTCCCCCTCTGCCTCCACCTGGTCCAGCCCCATCATCGCCCGCCAGGACTAGAGACCTCTGCCCTGGTCTCCCACTCTCACCCCCCACAGTCTGTTCCCCATGCAGCAGCCAGAGGGTGCCCATGAGCACCTGCGTCATGGCCCATCCCTCTTCTGCTCACAGACCTCCAGGGCTCCCACCTCCCTCAGGTAAAAGCGCAAATCCTCCCGGAGATCCACAGTGTCCTGCACGACCTGCCTTGCCACCTTCCTGCCCTTCCCTCCTCCTTTCTCCCCCTCACTCACTATGCTCCAGCCACACAGGCTTCCTCGCCATTCCAACTTGCCAGGCACGGCCCTGCCCCAGGGCCTTTGCCCAGGCTGTTCCTCCCAAAGCTTAACCATTAGCGCCACCCAGGGACTTAATGATAATGAAAACAGCAGCAACTAATGCTGTTTTAGCTCTTTCTTCGTGCCAGACACTGTTCTAAGTTCTTGATACATAGTAACTTCTTTACACATATTAGCTACATTAATCCTCACAGACCCTGAAAAGCAGGTGTTTTTACAATTCTCTGTTTTAATACAAGGAGACTGAGGCACAGACAGGTTAAGGAGCTGGTACAGAGTCACCCAGCTGACTCAGTAGTGGCTGATGGTTGCCTGTTCATCTTCTCTATTGCTCACCTCCCTCCACCAGCTATCAGCTTCCGCAGGGCGGGGAGCTCTGTAACCTTTGCTCCCTGCTGTACCAGCTTCCGGAACAGGACCTGGCATGCAGTAGGTGTTTAATAAATATTTGCTGAAAGCCTGAAGTGGCACAGCTGAGATTCAAACCCAGGCAGTCTGGCTCCCGTCCATACTGTTAAATTAAAATGGCACCTCCTTGAACTATCGTGATCCGTTAAACCAAACCCGTTGCTCTTGAGTTGATCTCGACTCACAGCAATCCTATAAGACAGCGGAACTGCCCCCGTGGGGTTTCCAAG